GAGCATGAGACTTGTCATGATATTTTTTGTTCATGTCGCTTTTCGTCCGTGGCTCAGCTTCCCTCAGTCAGTCCTCAGTAATTCAGCCAGTCTGTTTACCGTAGTATCTCAGAATCAACTTAAAAGGACAATTTAGTGAAGTACGTTTTTTTTGATATCCTTGTCACAAAATTCTTTAAGATATTATAGTTTGATACTCCTTATGAACAATTCATGTCGAGAAATTGACAATAGACAAGATTTTCTTGGCGTTTTTAATCAGTAATGGAGAAATCCTTAACTGTACATGTACGTACAGCTGTATGTATAAACGGCAGCTGTCGGTGACATTCTAACTAACAAAACTGTCTTTCCAGCCGCGGAAAAAAGGTAACTTCTCACTTCATCCACCTAGCCTCACTGGAATAAAAGTACACGCATTTATTCTGAATCAAAATCATTTTCCAACAGTATCTGAATGAATGATCTATTTTACGTTATCGCAATTTCTGTGGTTTGAAATCCTCCCTGCGGCACCCTCTCGGTGCGTGCATGCTCTAATGGAATCTGTTCGTTTTTATTAAAGTCCAAATGTGAACAGAACTATCTGATTAGAGGTATATGTTATGATACTTATAGTTCTTACTTGCGATGTATTGTGTACATTCAAGAATTCGAATGTGCTATGTGTTAAATCAGACTCATAACTGACACGGTGTTGTCGGTCGAACCCCATGCAGGTAGGGCGTAAGAATTGTACCTGCTGCCCCCAATTGCATGATCGTAAGAGGCGACTAAATTTGGGACCTTATCTCTTCTCTCCTTTCTAAATAACTTTCTTCTTCCTGATGTCTCCCTTGACAATGCCTCACTTTTGGCCATTTGTTGAGCGTTCGCCCCTGTGAGGAAGGCTTTGGGTTCTGTCCCCTGGCCGAGACATACCAAAGTCTTTAAAAATGGTAGTTTCTACTCCTGCTTAACGCTCAGCAAATTAGGAGTGGGACGACTGGTTCGCCCGTTGTCAGTATAATGTGACCGGGTGGGGCGTCCTGCTGGGTGTCTTCGGCAGTATGTTTCAGTGAGGTAGCACTATAAAGTCGGCATCAGTTCCGCGCTATCACAAGGAGACAAACACGAACATATCGCAGCCTCCCAAAATACACACGCATACACTACACGCATGCATCTTGCACACAGGTGAGGCCGTCCTTAAATGACCTTAGCTGTTAATAGGACGTTAAACAAAATCAAACAAACAAACAAATTGTCGGTCGACCGCGTACATAATGTAGTGCTGTACTTGTCTCGTTCAACCAGGCTCTTTTTGTCTGTGCACGCTATTTTACAAGTGATCAAGTGTCTAGTTGAACGAGACTTAGTGCTGTACATGTTTACTTCTCACTGAAAGGCCCGGATATTGCGCTATTACGGTCGTAGCTAATTTTATCACCGGCTTTCCCAAAAGATGATAAGGTCATATCATTATCAACTACGTAAACATTCGTTAGGAGATATATATTCTCAGTATCGACTCGATTATCGAGTTGTCATTTGCAAACTTATTATATTTACTTAACCATTTATTATTGTGTATGTCAAGTGTGCTACTGAACCGCGGTTCAGAGACGGACAGGTTTATATGTCAAATATACATATTTTAAGGCTGTCGTTTTTAGACATTTAATTGATCACCTTTCAATGGAAACTACCAGGACGTGTATAGGTATGCAGTTTATAAAACTATGAAGTTCAGCTAAGTTCATAATTTTACATGCCAACGAAGTGCCGACTCCTTCGTGTAGTATTTATTGTACGATACATCTCGATGTTTTATTGTATAACCAATCATTCACGTGTGACGCTCTTCCAAAAGCCTCCCCGTTAATGTAACTGACAAGACCGGAGCATTGACTGCATGCAGACTACAGCTGTGCTGGAATTGCTGGTGAAATGAAAACGAAGCATCACGTGACAACTGTTCGCGCTCTCGTATTGGATGATTTAAATAATGTTGTCGTTTACGTGTTCGCACTCAGGTACATGTAGGAATCGAACCTGATACCTCTGGTTTACTAGTTTGACCTTCGACCGGTTCAGCTTAAGAGAACTTTTTCTAGACGAATCATTAGGAAACTGCTAGTATTTTATCTCGGCGACACACATACATTATTACCTTAATTCACAGCAGTTAATATCGAAAGACGTTCGGCCTTAAAACGTATTGTGGAAAAAAAAATAAAAACTGGTTCACGGTTCACATACTGTTTATTTTTTACAAATACGTAATAATCATAATCTTACTTTTTATAGAATAAAGGAAAACAAATTTCATATAAATCGAACAATCATGTCTTGAACATGATCTAGTCAACACTATTGTCCAGCTGTTATATATCATTGTTAAATGTTATATACTTCTTGGTTCTGTGCATTCAAAAAAATAAATAAAAAAAATACTGATATTTGCAACGCCGAGAATCGTGAAGTATTTCCTTATTACCATCACTTTAGTTCACTGGTAATTTTGTTTTGTCATCAAATACATTTGAAAAATCATCACAAATATTGATCTCATAATATTTTGTGACGTTACACTGTCATTATGACATCATGTCTTACATAAATCCCTCGCGATAGGAGGCGTCGAACCATACGTTTGGTCCAGATATATAGAGGTTATCTAACAGTGTCTTCAGTAATAACAAATATATTTCACGAGTGTGGCTAATTTTGCAGTTATATTGCTTTGGAGTAAAGAAAATTTTCTGCCACAAATAAATATAGGTTGTCAGAATTTTAAGGATTTTAAATGGAAATTTATGTAAAAAGGAGTGAATTTTGAAATTATGAAAGACACAAGTTTTTTGCAAAATAATGTCAATAAAAATGATAGTGCCATAGATTAGTATTGCATTAATGTATATCAATTTAATAAATGCTGAAATTGTGTAGAATCAATTATCTATAAACGATTAAAAATTGACATTTTATAATAAAACCATATACACAAAGTATTTGCATGTAAGAGTTATCTGTCCTGAAAAACTTCACAGTAGTGAATTAGGTAGCCGGTGTCCTAAAGTACAGAAAAATGGACACATGTGACTCATTGATAAAAAACAACTGAACTAATGCCTGGATTGGTTTGAAATACTTTAAAACTAAGAGAACACACTGTTCTGTCAATAATAAACACACGATATTCATCAGTTTAATATTAAACATTAGAATATGCGGAAATTGTGATACTGTCTCCCTACATTGGATTTTCAACTAGGGACGTACTTCCTATTTCCGTTTATCAATACACTCCTATGACCTTAACCAAGAAATATATGATATTTAAAAATAGTTAAAAAAACCAGTTTGACACTCGTTTGGCTAATATTTTGATATCTTTCACGAGTGCGCAGTATCAAAATATCAGCCACACGAGTGAAATATATTTTGTAATACTGAAGACACTGTTAGATATTCTGTTTATTACTTTTTTTTACGAAAACCTACCCCGGAATGCTAATCGACACATCAAGCTGACAATACTTGATCTGGATACTTTTACCACTAGCATGTCTAGACAACCCTAGGCAAAAAAGATTGACCTCTCTTCAAACATTTTTAACAAAATGTAAAAACAAATTATTAAATTCCTTTAGTTACTTAATTTGATTACGTAGGCACTTATGTTCATATGTTTAATAAGTATGCCAAATTATTATCATAATTTCATTTTTAGAAAAAATCCAGTCATATCAACTCAGATCACTGCGTGTTGTCGATAAAGCATCGAATCTACAATGGTGGCGAGTGTGAAAAAATCTGATGATAAAATATCTACACCATCTATGTAAGTTATACACTTGCGAAAATATCACTTTTATCGAATGAATAATTTTCAATATTTCACTGGTAAAAATGTAATAAAATCTTTTTCTGTGATATATAGTTTAAAAGATATAACCAAATATCTATCAATTCGTTGGTATCATCATTGATCTTTTGAATTGAAACATAGTCAATCACTATCTACTCGGTGAAGGTCATATATTTGCCTTCAATGATTGTATAAATCAATATGTACAGTACGAACATAATTGTTTCAATAACATATGCACACAAAATATCATCATTGCAGAATAATCACAAAATGCAAAAATATTAATAGCATTAAAATATTTCAATTTATGAGGTAACATAAACAATACAAATTAAAAAAAGGATTGAAATGTACAAAAAAAGGCATGTATCAGAATCACAAATCCTGTAACTGAACAAGGCCAACTTCAAAAATACGTTGCACGTCCCTGTTGTCATATCCGTATCACGTCATTGTTGTCATATACATATCATGTCATTATAGTGTCGTCAAAAAAATGTCATGTCACTGAAGTGTTGTTCAATACATATCATGGCACTGTAGTGTTGTTCAATACATATCATGGCACTGTAGTGTTGTTCATTACAGATCATGTCACTTAAATGTCGTCCATTACATATCGGGTCAATGTAGTGTCGTCCAATACATATCAGATTACTGAAGTGTCGTCCAGTACATATCAGGTCACTGTTGTGTCGTCCTGATACATATCAGGTAACTGTAGTGTCGTCCAATAATATCATGTCACTGATGTGTCGTCCAATACATATCATGTCGCTGAAGTGTCGTCCAGTACATATCATGTCACTGTTGTGTCGTCCAATACATACCAGGTCACTGTAGTATCCACAAATACATATCATGTCAATTTAGTGTTGTCCAATACATATCATGTCACTGAAGTCAAATACATAGCATATCACTGTAGTCTAAAACACATCATATCATTGCAGTTAAAACATATCATATCACTGAAGTCAAACACATATTATGTCACTGAAGTCAAACACATATCATGTCACTGAAGTCAAATACATATCACGTCACGGTAGTGTCGTCAAATACATATCATTTCAATTTAGTGTTGTCCAATTCATATCATGTCACTGTAGTACTGTCCATTACATATCAGGTTACTGTAGTGTCGTCCAATACATATCATGTCACTAAAGTCAAATACATAGCATATCACTGTAGTCTAAAACACATCATATCATTGCAGTAAAAACATATCATATCACTGAAGTCAAATACATATCATGTCACTGAAGTCAAATACATAGCAGGTCACTGTAGTGTCGTCCAATACATATCCGGTTACTGTAGTGTCGTCCAATACATATCATGTCACTGAAGTCAAATACATATCATGTCACTGAAGTCAAATACATATCATGTCACTGAAGTCAAATACATATCATGTCACTGAAGTCAAATACATAGCAGGTCACTGTAGTGTCGTCCAATACATATCCGGTTACTGTAGTGTCGTCCAATACATATCATGTCACTGAAGTCAAATACATATCATGTCACTGAAGTCAAATACATATCATGTCACTGAAGTCAAATACATATCATGTCACTGAAGTCAAATACATAGCAGGTCACTGTAGTGTCGTCCAATACATATCCGGTTACTGTAGTGTCGTCCAATACATATCATGTCACTAAAGTCAAATACATAGCCTATCACTGTAGTCTAAAACACATCATATCATTGCAGTAAAAACATATCATATCACTGAAGTCAAACACATATCATGTCACTGAAGTCAAACACATATCATGTCACTGAAGTCAAATACATATCCATCATGTCACTGCAACAAAATTCATATCACATCACTGTTGTTATTTACATATTATGTAACTTAACTTCAAAAAGATTATACGTTTCAAATTTTTGAATAAATTAAATCACTGAAATGTTATTAAAAAATCATGCAAATGACGTAGTTAGTACTTCCAGCCACAGAATGTCGCTGAGACACTAAACAAGCATGTCACTGAAGTGCTTAACATATATAATGTTGATGAGGTATTATACAAATAATTTCTTTCATTTATTCGGCATAACATGTTAATGAAAAATGAAAAAAAATCATACATAGCGTTGACTACTTTCGATAAAACTTTTAGTAATACATTGTTAGAACCAGAAAGGGACAAAGAAAATTATAAATGTGTAAATACATGTTTGAATTCAGACAATAAACATTCTAATATGATATAACCAGAGAAGTGTTTCCAAAGGATAGTGCCTCCAACGACTCTAAGATGTTGTACTGCGTTTCTTATACGTCACTCAACGTTATGTTTACACACTGAATCCTCCTTTCTGCTTTTTACTATAGAACAAACTCATAACAACGCAGCTCGGAGTTGTTGGCGGTGCCATTCTCTGTTTTATACACTTAGGTTATTATCTTTATCAGCAAATAAACTTCTAAATTTACAAATGATCACCAAGGATCAAGTCTGTTAGTCCTACAAATCATTCGATTGTTAACAATCCGTGTGTCACACTCATCAAGTATTTAACAACTGAATACATCTTACTTATTAAGGATAAACAATTAACCAGCAACCAATACATTTGAGAACATATAAAAACGTTATTTACATATATACAGGAAAGGCCCATAAATATGGGGACAATAAAATTTTTAAAATTTACGTAACAGGAGAATCTTAAGATTAACCAAGGTTAAGTTTGTTTTGATCACAAACAGGAATTTAAAACTTATTTTGTAAGTTTTCGAAAACGTGTTCCCTTTGTCAAGCAAAGTGTTCAAATGGCCGGTGTATCGACTCTAAACCGCTAAAAACACTAACAATGACAAAACATCAGAAGTCATTATAAGAAAACGACATTTGAACAGTACATCTGTTACATTGATTTGAATTTCTATACATTTGGTATCCTTATTCAAACACATACAAAAATGTACAATAAGGAACATATCTGACTTTTAAAAGTATCAATGCCAAAACGGACCTCAAGGTCAATCAAAAAACAAAATGGACACCAAAAATGAAAAAGACAACACAAAAATGAAGAAGAAACTGCAATGTTTATGATAAAAATGTAACTTATCAAGAAATCTTATTATCAGCCCAAATAGTTCGGCCTTCCTGACGTCTTTAACGGAGAAAGCCAATGCTAAATTTAGGTACTTCCATCTTCTTTTGAAGAGGAGGAAATTACGAACTAAAATTATGACGTCATAAAACTTATTAAATCTATGACGTCATAATAATACAAATTCGTGTTGAATTACCTTATACAAATGTACTCAATTACTTCATTTATACTATACCCAGAAAGAAGTTCTAATGCCACACAATCGTCAGTTTTCTTCTGATACGGAAATTACAAACCACTTGTATTTAACTTAATACATACCAAACCAAGCTTATTGTTCACCAGTCGGCGATAGAGAGGAGTGATTGCTACATTGAGTGTTTCATCCTTGATTTGAATAATTATGATTCTATTTCATCCTTGCATGTGGACACTGTGATACACTGTTGTATTTTATCCTTGTGTTGACGCTTTGATAGTTTTTTGTATCTTTATGAATTCACATTGTTGTTTTAAGTGTATCCTTGTGCATTGTTGCTGCGATACAATGATGTTCTATATATCTGTCAACATAGTCAGGATAAAGTTGTGAGAAACCATGATAATCGCATTGCAAAAAGATAGAATTTTCATAAGTTTGGTTTTGTAACTTTTTAACTGTAAAATTTATGACTTTGGGTATGAGAAATTAAATATAATTAATTGAGTGGGGTAAGGATTCTTAAAACTGTTTTTTATATATTCTCTTCCGTGATATCATCGACATTCTCAATGCCGCCGATAACTTTCACTGTTTGTAAACGAGAGTGAAGATATTCTACTATATCTGAAATAGTAGTTGAATCGCTCAGCAGCCGGACAATAGGGATTCTGTAAGTTGTGAAATCACGTATGCTTTTAGCAAATGCGATCGCCTGCATCGAATCGAATCCAACAGAGGCTAGATTTGAGGAACTCTCAAGGACGTCCACATCTACTTGCAAGACCTTTGCAGCAATGTCCTTCACACATGCAGTAATTCCTTCGCGGGTGCACAGATCATGGTCCAAGGTCGGCATCAGATACTTCGAATTCGGCAGATTTTCTCCAGGACTGTCGCCAATTACATTTATGAATCTTCTCCTGCTTCGCATTGGAATAGAATCAACAAAGTGTTGGTCAATGAGTTTCCATTGGAAAGAACCAATGGTAATCTGGGTTTTGTCCATCATGAGAGATTTCAAGAGGTATTCGTGTATGTATTGCTCTTTGAGACAGTTAAACCCGTGCCGCTGCAGCTCCTCTCGTACTGCCATATGGTCAAGTAAACCTAATGGTAGGGGTCCCCAGTTGATCCCTAAACCTGTTAGTCCTTGTCCAACTCTGAAGTGAGCAAGAGAATCCATGAAGGCGTTCCCTGCACCGTAGTTACTTTGAGCTGTGTTCCCAAATATCGATGATATCGATGAGTGAAGGATGAAGTAGTCCAAAGCATATCGTTTCGATATTTCATGAAGGTTCCAACTTCCGAGGACTTTTGGCAGAAGAACTCTCCTTAACTGTTCTTCAGTCAGATTTATAAACAGTGCATCTTCTAAGACAGCTCCGCCATGGAAGATTCCTTTCACTGCTTCATTGCCAAATGTTTCATCAATCTTGTCAAATGTGCCTTGCAAGGATTTTATGTTGGTGATATCGACCGAGAAAGTCTTAATCTGTACCCGATGTTTGACCTGTAAAACGTCAATATCCCTTCTTTTATCAGCGTTGGGATGCTTTCTTGCCAGCGCCACGATCATTCCTGCACCTTCAGCTGCTATGCATTGCACGATTTCCCATCCTAAACCTGTTAATCCTCCTACAACGATGTAGCATCTGTTCTTTCGAAACAATTGATTCTGTGTGACTTTGACATTAGCTTCGGAATGGTTTTGCGATGGCAACCGCATAATTTGTACCGTAGGTTTTTTAAAGCTGGAAAAAGTCATCCTGGACATGTTCTTTCGGAGCCACTTTACTGCTTGAGGAACGTGCTTTCCAAGCGCATACGGACTTAGCATTTCTTCTGTGCTGAGGACCTTGAAGCAAACTGAAGGGTTCGTATTCTGTACGGATTTCATGCTAACCCTTGTGAGATTTACGTTTGTTGCAACTACTAGTTGTAAATCTTTAAATTTGCATAGTGCCATACCAAGTTTAAAAACATCTGTGGATTCCAGAACGATCAAATTTGTGGCTTCAATCCCCGCTGTTGGAGAAGCAATCAGGTCATCAATCGTTGCATGGGCTGCTTGGTTTTCTTCTGAAAGTATGGATTGTACAATCACAACAGCAATATCGTCTGGTTCAGCAAGAAGAAAGGTGTTCCCTTCAAGCAACTGTTCCTTCATCTGCAACAGTAATGCTACTCTTGTAAGGAGACCCGGGAAGTAATTCGGCTGATCATCAACCCTTAACAAAGAGCCTTTAGGAATGGTGGTTTCCCTTTGCACGGTAAGTGATGAGCAAGCAACATATTTCCCTTCCCATCGGCTTGATGTTGTACTTTCGTTTGCAATATTCTTTGTGGTTTCCGTCACTGTACCACTAACCTCATATGTCAGAATGTCATATCCGTCCTCTTTGTCGTCTTGCCAAACTGGAACGTCATTATCGGCGAGCTGTAGCGTCAACGGAGAAAAGTTCTCGTCATGTAGAACTGCCGTGTCAATATGCAGAATAACTCCTGACTCAAGTTCTGCATTGTTTTGTAAGGTGTAGAACGTATCGTTCGTGCTGTCTGGTTGTGTACTTTTTATGCGAACGGGATCTCCAGCAGCCAGTGAATTCCACCTATATGGGTTTAATTTTTCCTGCAGTTTGACAATCCGGTTGCAATACAAGCTGTTATCAGTGATTAGTAATTCACACTCATTGCTTACAAATGGTGACTTGAATATCAAAATGTCTCGAAGAACAGGACAGCTGGATCGCAGAGAAGTGTGTATGTCAATAAGTGTCAGATTGAGCGGGCTTTCACGCACTACTGATCTAGCAATTCCCCATAGTTCTGATCCAATAACATTCTTCACGGTGCTGTTTGAATTGGACACTGATTGAACCTTTTCGGTGATAATGAGAACAGGAATGTGAGTGTTGTTTTGATTTTCCAGTATTTTGCATATAGAAAGTAATGCTTTAGAATTATCCAACACCTCTTGCATGACTTGTTCCCCGGTCATCTGGCTACAGTCCTCGCCATCTGCTATAAGGATAACAGAACTGAGTCCTTTCATTTCCAGCTTAGCTGTAACTTTAAGTTCCAAATTTTCATCCTTGGTTTCTACGTGGATTATCTCTGTTTGCTTTAATTCAGAATGAATGACGTTTGCTTTTGATTCTGAGGAAGAAATCAACAGAGATTTGTGTTGATTGTTGTCATCTGGTTTCATTTGCGGTGGTTTCGGAAAACTATCTATTTCCTCCCACTGGACTTGATACAATATATGGTTATCTAGATTTGGCTCCGTCGTTCCGATGCACTTAATAACGTAATCCTTCACCTCTGCAACTACATCTCCATTGGTCGTTAATAGAAGAGCATTGTATCGGAAGTCGTTTTTCGACTGACCGATTAACAAGGTATATGCAAGCATCTTTCTTTCCGGCTGCTGTCGAAGATGAAAGCTGCCCATCCCGCCTGGTAGCAGCGTCACATCGCTTTCAATACCCATGTTGAGTACCACAGGTGTTTGGAGCAGACCATCTAAGATTGCAGGATGTAGATGTGTACATGAAGTATCCTGCATAACGGCCTCCGACAGCTCCATTTCAACGATACACTCTGTATCATTCGTCATGGCATTTCCTAAAATTTTCAAGTCCTTTCCATACGTGAAGCCAAGCTTTGTAAGAGCAGTGTATGTCTCCGATGGGCATTGCTTACTTACGCATCGTCTTCTGATGGCGGTTATGTCTACTCTGTCCCTTCTTATTGGCTTCTCCAACTGGATCTGGCACTTGGCTACTTTAAGTTTGTTCTTATACACAATGACCGACCACGTCCAATCATCATCACATTTCTTTACAATAACGTCTGCTGTTGAGCGTTCCCCCTTGTTAAGGGTCAGTGGATGCAGATATTTTGCGGAAATATTTGTCGCCATCTCTCCTGTCTTAAACACGTGTTTTCCAATTTCTTGCGCTACCTCCAAGTACATTGCTCCTGGTACCATGATTGTTCCGGATACAACATGTTCATACAGAAACCATGTTGATGATGGTGACATGTTGATCAGAAATCGCATTTCTTTGGAACCTACTCTCTCTACAAACAGATGGTTGAAGTGAGGACTGTTCACACCTGCATAATTTAATAATGTAATGTTGGACTGGAAAAGCAGTGGTTCTGTCGGGTTAAGTTGACATGACGGAATGTCTGTTAATTTAGCAGCACTGACAACGTTTTTCCAGACAATATCGACTCCGCCTTTGTAGAGTTCCATTACGGCGAGCTTTATAGAGTCGCATTCCCTATTTCCCAACATAGAAGCCACAACAACAGCATTTTGCTTGTCAATTATGTTTGACAAATGGAATTTCAATACTGGCTTCGGTCCTATCTCTATGCAAATGTTCGCATTGCCTTTTACGATTGCCTCTTTGATGGCTTGCCCGAATAAAACTTGCTCCCTCACGTTTCGTCTCCAGTATTTTGGCGTTGTAAAGTCGTCAGATATTGCATGTGTTCCTGTCACTGTTGAAATCAGAGTACATTTTGTTTGATTGTTGGGGTTAAATCCGTTCAGCCTCTTTTCCAGCAGCTCGCTGGCGTCTTCTACACGGTGGCTATGATAAGCACACGGGACTTTCAATTTTCTCAGCAGTATCTTCTCTGTGTTGAGGACATTTTCCTGCATCAGTTGATCTATAGCATCGCTTTCTCCCGATAGAGTACAAGCAAACGGGCTGATACGAACAGCCACGCTCACTTTTCCGTTGAACTTCTGACAGATATCTTCCACTACAGCCATATCACAGTTGCCAACCACAAGCATAGCCCCTCCATTTGCTTTTGAAAGCAGTTGTGACCTTACGTAGATAACCTCAACTGCTTCTTGGAGCGAGAGAACTCCAGCCGCGTACGCTCCCGCTACCTCTCCTACTGACTGGCCAACAACGACGTCAGGCTTTACCCCAAAATGGCTCCATAGTTCGGTAAGCGCAACTTGACAAGTGAAAATTGCCAAATGAGCGATCAGTGGATCGTTGATGTCGAAACCGTCCATCAGCTTTTCTAACATGGACAATCCAGCTAGAGGAGTAAGGAATATATCAATTCGCTTAACAGTCTCCCGGAAAACCATTTCTGTTCTTATAAGATCTTTGCACATGCCCAACCATGTTGTCCCTACACCACAGAAGACAAAGACGACATTTGGTTTCTTCATTGTTGTAAATTTCTTGATATCCAGCTGTTTAATCTGGTCATCGCACAGTTTTGGAATTTCGCTGCATGAGGAGGTCTGAAATGCAATTCGGTATGGGTAGTGGTCCCGTCTACAGGTTGATGTGTAGGAAATGTCTTCTATATAATATTTAGCTGATCCAACTTTCAGCATCAGATGTAAAAGATTCCTTTTAAGCGACAGTTTATCTTTCCCTGAGACAGTGATAACATGTTTAACCATGTTGCTTTTGTTTGTCTCAAGACATAGAGGCATGTCGATGTTTTCTTGTTTGATGATAGCATGGCTGTTGGTTCCCCCAAATCCAAACGAATTGACGCACGACAACCTCGTGCGACCTCCAGGAAGATATGGCCAGTCTGTCAGGTGCTGAGCTATCTCTAAATTGTAGTTTTCTAAATCTATTTTAGGATTTGGCGATTGAACATGAAGTGATGGAACAATCTTACCATGTTTCATCATCAGGAGAACTTTTATCACACCAGCCACACCAGCTGCAGACTCCAAGTGACCAATATTTGTCTTCACGGAGCCGATGAGAACAGCAGTTCGACATTCATCGTCTTCAACGTTGTTTGCTGCGAAGAACTCCCCAAGAGTATTTGCTTCTTTTGGATCGCCAACTGGAGTACCCGTTCCTGATGCAAGGAAAATGTTCATGACTTTCAATCACACGGTATCAGGTATCGGAACAACAAAATAAGAAGATATTATACAGTTTGAATTGTTGTAAATGTCAAATGATATCAAATTGTTTTGAATTTTTTTGTACTCTGATGTTTTATGGCAATAAAGTAATATTATGATAGGTTTTACTCGATTTCTTTAAATCCTCATCACACTTAACAATAAATATGGACTAAACGCGTTAAACTTTTAAAGACATTGATCCGTTCATTATGAAAATAAGTGTCTCGGATCATGTAGTCTTGAATCAGAAGCACTTGTTTTAACTTAATAGAATATGGGACAAAGAGAGTACACATACAAAAATCGTGTTCTCACCATGAGCTTCAAGGTACTGGACCGTCCTCGGATCACAACCAGTGGCACTGTACACTTGTTTGAGAAGATTCATTTGTTGCACCGTAGAGGGAGCTGTCATTGGTGTTGTTGTCCGACCATCCTGGTTAATTCCCGTTGCTATGGACGCCCAGATTTTACTCCCGTCAAGCATTGCCTAAAACACACATAATGAATAATTGACATGGAATTTGCATAAAGTGAGTATGTTTTAGTCAATATCAATTAACCCATGTTTAGCGGTACAGAAAGTGTTTTTGCATTTCTATTCCATTAACATCTTACTTCTTTATATTAAAAAAAAAAAAAAAATCATTCATTATTTAAAAAAAAAAAGAATCAAACAAATATCTCGATCATCACAATTTATATGTTTCTTCAAAATCATCAATGATGAATGAATTTAAATAACCTGTTTTCTCGTCTTTAAAATCAAAATGCCACAACCCTCGCCACGAGCATATCCGTCCGCTTTGTTGGAGAAGGCCTGGCATTGTCCAGTCGGTGACACCATCCGGGCTCTGCTGAGTGGTACAAACATATCTGGGTACAATATGCTGTTGACACCGCCGCTAATAGCAATGTTACAATCACCTGAAACAATAGTTGTACCACTGTAACATCACGCTATCAGGAATTTCAGCCTAACTTAAGTGAAATAGATTACTGTGTTTCATTCCAGTCTGCACAGTGACGGATTGAAAGGGGTTTTACGAGCTATAAGAACCTTTCTACTCCCATGAGTAGGTGTTTTGTCTTAGCATTCGTTCCGATCTTATGTTTTATGAAATAATAAACCAACATCAACCTCAACGTTAAAATAAATACATGTACATACAAATATTACATACTGTTAGCCATTAACTCAATCATTCTTACGATTTAATCATCATGGTCTTACATCTGGTTCGTTGTTTTCACAAAATATGCTTCAAAGTATACCTAGATTTGCAAAGTGTAACATTCATGAAATGTTGTCAATCTATTACATACTTAAGTGATTAAATAAATTGTTTATAATTAGCATTTAAATTCCTTCGTTGAATATCGTGTTTACAAGTAACAAAAAACAAACCAGAGGGCATTTTAAGCAAACGAGATTTTTTTCATTTCAAAATACTATATTTCCTTTCCGATAAAACCAGTAGTGATATAAACCTTTTTGAAAAGATATAATCTGAATATTAATGCGGGGGATGGCCATCCAAAGATGTGTGCGAACACAGTACTTTATTGAAATTTGAACTTCGTGTTACTGCATTATCATTATATTTCAGGTATCTAACAGAAGTAAACACAACAGCAATCACAGTTGAAAGAACTTGCGAATGAAGATTGGTGTTTTGAACAATATGATCTTGGTATAGTTTGGCCTAGAACAGGGTAATAATGGCGGAGTATTACATTGTTTCGTATAGTCACATTAACGTCAACCCTAGCCCTTATACAAAAATACGTAAGATAGCTAAATATGAACGACATCCATATATTCTTAAGATTTTCGTTTTTTACTGCTATTTAAAAGATGCATGCATGTGTTTCGAAACAGTTTAGACAAGCACTTAGGTGATAAGATTATTTCTACATGTCCCTAGACATGTCAAAGAGGCATGACACACCATGTCAAATGACTTCGCCTGTTTCTATGTTGTACAATCAAATCGATTGGAGCTCTCTTTTCATTAAGTCATGACCTTGAACAGAACCTCTCAACAAACTAAAGGAAGGCCAACGTCGTACCTAGGAAACAGACCTGAAGTGGTAACATGGGTATTAGAATGAAACTTACCACATCTTAAGGCTTGTGCTGCAACGTGGATCGCGACAAGGGATGAGGAGCAGGCGGTATCTATAGTCATGGCAGGACCTAGCAGGTTGTAGGTATAGGCTACACGTGCAGGTATAATACTTGGCGACGTTCCTGTAAGCGTGTAGTTGGACGTACGCTTCAGGTCGTCACAGCACGTGATTCTGTAGTCGTCGTTCATCACACCTGAACGAAACACGAAGAGCAGGTAACCCATAGATACACTGGTCATTAACCCACTACTAGCAGTGGTATATGTGTTATAGCGGTACCAATTACCAAGCTTTCCAGTTTATCTTATATTTGTAATATTTACCAAGAAACACTGAAATTGGCAATACAAACGTGATACCTATTTTCAAAAAGGGGCTTTTAGTCTGCTTCATCTTCATCAATATTATCTGTAAAGTGGTGGGGTTTTTTTTTGGTATTCTTGATTTTAGATTCTAACCTGGCGATTAAGCTGTCAATCTGTTACTTCATATAACTCATTAGATACAGGCAGGAAGGATAAGGTAGTGAAAAAACTGATATGACAAACGAAAAAAAAGTAAATCTGTATATGTAGGAAGGTAGGGTAGAAGAGGGTTTGATAAAACAAAGGACTAATATAAAACAAACGACAAAGGTAAAAATATGTAGATATAGGTATTAGAATGTCTGAAATAGCAAACACCAAAGGTGAATCTGTAGATATAGGTAGGGAGGGTAGGGTATTAGAATGTAGGTAGGAAGGGTAGGGTATTAGAATGTGTGAAATAGCAACACCAAAGGTGAATCTGTAGACATAGGTAGGGTAGGGTATTAGAGGGTTTGATAAAACAAACGCCAAAGATAAATCTACAGATGTAGGCAAGGAGGGTAGAGTAATAGAGGGTCTGAAAAAGAAAACGAAAAGGTAAAGCATTTAGGCTAGGAGATTAGCACCATTTATGGATTCAATCTTATACTTATGGAAGGATTATATATATGCTTGTCTAACTGAAGTTTTTACTTGTCTATAAAGTATGATCGACCTAAAACATGATACTATTCTTCATTTAGAGGGTAAAAACCATTCATATAAACTTGTTTTTTAATTCCTTCTGTATACATGTTAAATGTCAAAAGATGAACGTAACACACTCATAGTTGATTGCACCTTAAAACTTAGTCTAGATACAGTATGTCACTACTTCATACAGCTGTTTCGTTCTTTTAGGACTCATCGGTGATGCTTTGGGCAAAACAGTCCCATGATAAATATCTTCCGATGATATTTTCCGATATTATTTCCGATATTATAAAGGGGAATGATTAATCGATGCAAATAAATTGTTTCCTGGTCCTACCTATATACACTCCTGTCTGCGTTCCGTGTATATCCTTTTTAGTAATACCGCCGTCTTCTAGAGCCATGTGAACAGACTCCAGCACATAGCGCTGTTGGGGGTCCATCCGGGCAGCCTCCATGTCACTGATGCCGAATTGTTTGTTGTCAAACTGGTCGTATCTGTCATAAATAAGAATAAATGAATTATCATTCATAGTCGTATATTTACATTCTGTGTTGCATTTGCCTATATGTCGTTAGTAAACCAAATTGCAGTATATGAGACTGTATACTACAATTTGCAGTGATACGGCCAGTGTAGGAATACAGCTGGTACAAGGTAAACGAACATGACTGCCCGATACTTTCGGTATCAATAGGTCTATAAAAAAATAAAGCAACTTGACAAATTATGACAATATAAATTTATTATAAGATGTGTAGGTACCACAAAATTATTGTAAGCGACATTCTAGATACGAAATTACCAAGTTTGTCAACGTCATCACACAGGGGATCGGTTTCGAGATTTTGAGTTATGTATAACATCAGTGAATAACCACAACACTAAAATTCAGCATTTCTAAAACCTTGTAAAAGTCGAGGGTATCGACAAGGTTTTAGAATGTGTATAAATACCCTTTTAAGTGTTGTGGTTTTTCAGTGATGTTATCCATTACTCAAAATCACGAAACCGAGCCCCTGTGAACGTCGTCTGCTAGCGATGCTAATCTGACCGATTAGACATGGAATCTATTTCAAACGAAATGTCTTTGGAATCGTTATCACCTACTGAAAGGACCACTTTAATTAAACATTTCCGAGTGTATATGCTTCTAAAAATAACGTAATATTCCAGTCGAAGGAAACATAAGCGTTTCCGAGTAAACAATCAAGTCCGTTCAGCGCCGCATCACTTGAAAATACATGTATGTAATCTATCAATGCGCGAAAAACAGCTTTAATTTTAAACAAGCAGAAGTTATGCAATTATTAATAATTTTTCAACATATACACACTCATAGGAAATGAATAATAACGTTAAGTTTGTGTTCAAACCATTTTATGTGCGTGTGGTTTTCAATGATACGAGGGACTATATTATTTCTTCTGGAAATGTCGGCTGTTCTAGGATTTGAACTTACTGACGTCACTGATATGATAAGCAGGAAATTCAAACGTATTTTTGCTTCAGTTACTATACAAAACAAACTATATACACATAAATGTAAATATAAGCATTGAACTGTTACCTAACAGGCGACATTCTATTTATCTGTCACCCAAATTGCATTCATATCGACTGTATACTGCATCTGGTAACAGTTCAATGCTTAAATGTTACCGGTTTGATATAAAAGAGATTAAACCTATATCAATCGTGAAAGGGAGGTTTATTAGTTGGATATAACTCAAACCCTCAATAACAAACTATAGTCTCAACATTACCGCTGTAGTCTCAACATTACACACTGTAGTCTCAGCATTTCACACTGTAGTCTCAACATTGCATACTGTAGTCTCAACATTACACACTGTAGTCTCAACATTACTCACTGTAGTCTCAACATTACACACTGTAGTCTCAACAGTACACACTATAGTCTTAACATTACACACTGTAGTCTTAACATTACTCACTGTAGTCTTAACGTTTCACATTGTAGTCTCAACATTACACACTGTAGTCTCAACATTACTCACTGTAGTCTTAACATTACTCACTGTAGTCTTAACGTTTCACATTGTAGTCTCAACATTACACACTGTAGTCTCAACAGTACACACTGTAGTCTTAACATTAATCACTGTAGTCTTAACATTACTCACTGTAGTCTCAACATTACTCACTGTAGTCTTAACATTACCCACTGTAGTCTTAACATTACACACTGTAGTCTTACCATTACACACTGTAGTCTTAACATTACACACTGTAGTATTAACATAACACACTGTAGTCTTAACATTACTCACTGTAGTCTTAACGTTTCACATTGTAGTCTCAACATTACACACTGTAGTCTCAACATTACACGCTGTAGTCTTAACATTACACACTGTAGTCTTAACATTAATTACACACTGTAGTCTTAACATTACTCAATGTAGTCTTAACATTACACACTGTAGTCTCAACAGTACACACTATAGTCTTAACATTACACACTGTAGTCTTAACATTACTCACGGTAGTCTTAACATTACACACTGTAGTCTCAACATTACACGCTGTAGTCTTAACATTACACACTGTAGGCTCAACATTACTCACTGTAGTCTTAACATTACACACTGTAGTCTTAACATAACACACTGTAGTCTTAACATTACTCACTGTAGTCTTAACGTTTCACATTGTAGTCTCAACATTACACACTGTAGTCTCAACATTACACACTGTAGTCTCAACATTACTCACTGTAGTCTTAACATTACCCACTGTAGTCTTAACATTACACACTGTAGTCTTACCATTACACACTGTAGTCTTAACATTACACACTGTAGTATTAACATAACACACTGTAGTCTTAACATTACTCACTGTAGTCTTAACGTTTCACACTGTAGTCTCAACATTACACACTGTAGTCTCAACAGTACACACTGTAGTCTCAACATTACACGCTGAAGTATTAACATTACACACTGTAGTCTTAAAATTACACACTGTAGTCTTAACATTACTCACTGTAGTCTTAACGTTTCACATTGTAGTCTCAACATTACACACTGTAGTCTCAACAGTACACACTATAGTCTTAACATTACACACTGTAGTCTTAACATTAATTACACACTGTAGTCTTAACATTACTCAATGTGGTCTTAACATTACACACTGTAGTCTCAACAGTAAACAATGTAGTCTCAACATTACACACTGTAGTCTTAACATTACTCACTGTAGTCTTAACGTTTCACATTGTAGTCTCAACATTACACACTGTAGTCTTAACATTACACACTGTAGTCTTAACATTAATTACACACTGTAGTCTTAACATTACTCAATGTGGTCTTAACATTACACACTGTAGTCTCAACAGTACACACTATAGTCTTAACATTACACACTGTAGTCTTAACATTCCACACTGTAGTCTTAACATTACACACTGTAGTCTTAACATTACTCACTGTAGTCTTAACGTTTCACATTGTAGTCTCAACATTACACACTGTAGTCTCAACAGTACACACTGAAGTCTCAACATTACACACTGTAGTCTTAACATTACTCACGGTAGTCTTAACATTACACACTGTAGTCTCAACAGTACACACTGTAGTCTCAACATTACACGCTGAAGTCTTAACATTACACACTGTAGTCTTAAAATTACACACTGTAGTCTGAACATTACTCACTGTAGTCTTAACATTACACACTGTAGACTTAACATTACTCACTGTAGTCTTAACATTACACATTGTAGTCTTAACATTACACACTGTAGTCTCAACAATACACACTGTAGTCAAAAACATTACACACTGTAGTCTTAAGATTATACACTGTAGTCTCAACATCACACACTGTAGTCTCAACATTACACACTGTAGTCTCAACATTACACGCTGTAGTCTTAACATTACACACTGTAGTCTTAACATTAATTACACACTGTAGTCTTAACATTACTCAATGTGGTCTTAACATTACACACTGTAGTCTCAACAGTACACACTGTAGTCTCAACATTACTCACTGTAGTCTTAACATTACCCACTGTAGTCTTAACATTACACACTGTAGTCTTAAGATTACACACTGTAGTCTCAACATCACATACTGTAGTCTCAACATTACACACTGTAGTCTCAACATCACACACTGTAGTCTCAACATTACACATTGTAGTCTTAACATTTCACACTGTAGTCACAACATTACACACTGTAGTCTCAACATTTCACACTGTAGTCTCAACACTACACACTGTAGTCTCAACATTTTATACTGTAATCCAACATTAAATGCCGTTGTCTTAACAGTTTATACTGTAATTTTTGAATACTGCAGTCTCAACATAACATGCCGCATAAAATGTTATTTATGTTTTTTCGTTCATAGACTCTAGCAATGTTCTAACCCCCCTAACCAGGTACAAAATGTTAAAGGGTAGTTTATGTACTTCCGTTCATAGACTCTAGCAAGTTTCTAGCTGCTCTAAAGCAGGTACAAAATGTAAGCACAATATTTACATATTTCGGTACATAGACTCTAGCAAGTTTCTAACTCCCAAAGAACAGGTACAAAATGCATACATGTAATTAAGGTAGTTCCGTACATTAACTCTAGCAAGTTCCTAACCCCCCTAGACCAGGTACAAAATGTTAACAGGTAATTTAGGTATTTCTGTACATAGACTCTAGCAGGTTTCTTACTCTCCTAGACCAGGTATAAAATGTCAACAGGTAATTTATTTATTTCCGTACATAGACTCTAGCAGGTTTCTAACTCCCCTAGACCAGGTATAAAATGTAAAAAGGTAATTTATGTATTTCCGTACATAGACTCTAGCAATTCTCTAACCCCCCTAGATCAGGTATAAAATGTAAACAGGTAATTAATGTATTTCCGTACATAGACTCTAGCAAGTCTCTAACTCCCCTAGACCAAGTACAAAATGTAAACAGGTAATTTACGTTTTTCCGTACATAGACTCTAACAGGCTTCTAACTCCCCTACACCAGGTATAAAATGTAAACATGTAATTTATGTATTTCCGTACATAGACTCTAGCAGGCTTCTTACTCTCCTAGACCAGGTATAAAATGTAAACAGGTAATTTATTTATTTCCGTACATAGACTCTAGCAGGTTTCTTACTCTCCAAGACCAGGTATAAAATGTAAACAGGTAATTTATTTCTTTCCGTACATAGACTCTAGCAGGTTTCTAACTCCCCTAGACCAGGTACAAAATGTAAACAGGTAATTTACGTATGTTCGTACATAGACTCTAGCAGGTTTCTTACTCTCCAAGACCAGGTATAAAATGTAAACAGGTAATTTATGTATTTCCGTACATAGACTCTAGCAGGTTTCTAACTCCCCTGGACCAGGGATAAAATGTTAACAGGTAATTTATGTAATTCCGTACATAGACTCTAGCAGGTTTCTAACTCCCCTAGACCAGGGATAAAATGTTAACAGGTAATTTATGTAATT